TATGGCAAATGACAGAGCCGTTGTAAATGTATGGCGACAGCATCAGCGCGCTCGATGTGGTTTTTCATTCTCTCCCACAGAACAGCCGCGATGCGGCCATCCATCCATCCATCCATCCATACATGCTCACAATTCAAAGCAAAGCATCTCGAGTCAAGTTCAGCATCCCCCCATGACAGAAACACGCACGGTGAGTGTGTTAGCCCACCTATGAATTCCTCGTCATCGTCGTCGTCCTCCTCTCCGTTTTCCGAATCGATCTGCATGGCTTCGTCAATGAAATTGACCGCTTTCCCAAGTCTCGGGGCCGAATTTTGGTCATTGCCAAATGAGGCCTCTTTGGTCTCGTTCTCCTTAAGCTGGGTGAAATACTGTAGCGCAAACTCGAGCAAGTCCCTGGGCTGATTCCTCAACACTTCCACGGTAAAGCTCTGTAACAGCTCCGTCAGTCCTTCAGGAATTTCTATACTCATTCCTGTTATCAGTCTATGGATGTGGACAAAACCGGTTTGCTGCGAATTTCAGTGATTCAAAAGCACCCAGATCAGGTTTTCTTCCCGTCGTGTTTTTTGGTTGGCTTTTTTTTTTTAAAGATGCCGAAATCAGCAGACGGGTGTGTAGTCAGACCACCCGCTCAGCAAGCCCTCCACAGCGGATCCTCTCTTTTTCTTGAATGAAAATGGCTGTGGATTTTTGGTCCGAACATCTTCTGCTGCTTCTGGCTAGGAAACCCACGCATGTGACCCAGGAATCCATGGCAACCACCTATCCAGAGATTGCGTATGAGCAGCAGCGGCGCAGAAACTGCAGTCAGTCGCAAAATACAAATGATGGGAAAGAGAAGCCCTGGGGAAGGCTCTTTCAGTCATAGATCGATTTTTCACTAACAGAGATTAGATCAAATATCCTGCGGTCTGGCATGTATGTTTGCCGTGGTTGTTCGCTCATACTTACCCTAAACGATTAAAAATATGATTAAATAAGAAGGACAACATCGCATATTATTTAAAAAGAAAAAAACAACACCAGCAGACATAGCAAGGCTAGAGACAAAAAGGTACTGCCATGCAATGATAAACACTGAATCTGAGGGAAATGTACAATTTTTTGTTTATTTGTTTGTTTTGCCACATGTAATTCATATTTAAACAGGTAAACATTAAAACCTAAGACCTCTGTAAAGACCTACAAATCAATAAAGATTCGTTCTGTATTTTTATTTAGGCTTTCTTCTTTTTAAAGGAGCTAATAAGAAAAGATCGTTTATGATAGTTTAGAGAGTTTGGAGGCTCATTTCTTAGGGAGAAAATAATAATACATGTGCTGGATATTTTAATGTCATGGGACCTGTCAGAACACTTTGACCACGCCAGAATGAAGTTTCATTTCAGAATCAAACGTCCCCCCGTGATATCACGGACTTGTGTAGCTGAACATTAAGTACATTAGAAAAACGGCTCAGACAAAGAAAAAATAAGTCTAGGTCTTAAACTAAAGGCCATTAATCATAGACTTCATATGGGCATCTATCAAGAGATGAACTGATTATGCTCTTCTGTGGGTTACAGTATGACTGAGCCACAAAAATGTATATCCATTATATGAGTTCAAATTTGGTTGACACTTTCTCATACCAGAAACATTTGTAGGAGTGACACGAGTTCACAAGCCTGCAAAACTACATTCTGTCAAACAGCTAATCCAAAGAGCTTAGCAGAACAAGGGGAAGTTGAGCAAAACAAGGGGGTAAGGGTTAAACTGGAATGCAGAGCAAGTGGGAAGTCTGCCCACTTGCTGAGGTTGGGTGACCTCAGGTGAGTTTTAGTCATGGCATGTGGTGGCACTACTACTACAGTGTGAGAAATCCCCCCCAAAAGATCCCTTCTCATATTGTGTTGGAATTTCAAGGCTTCAAGCAGAGAGAAGTTTAGTTTGAGGGAACCACTTGAGGAAACAGATAATAATTGTGCTAAAGGAGCACAGCTATTATCTGCCATGGTTATCATTCCGCTGTGGCTCCACTATGACACCCCTCCCCCTGCTGTGGCCCATATCTGTCACCCTTTATTAAGAAAGGCGCAGCATTTTCTCACTTCGGCGAATGGGAGCATGTCGATGGAGTGACCTGTATGCTCCACTGCTGCAGTTTAGCTGTTAGCTTTCAAACTCACTATTCCAGACCACTGTGAACTATAAGACCACCCCCCCCCACACACACACACACACATCTGAATACAGCACAACGCCATCATTTCATCTACTGTAAGAGTCAGCTGCACAAACACACACACTGTGCGTCAGCCCTGTTCACTGAACCACAGATCCTGAAGACTGTTTCTACTTTAAGCTTCACAACAGACCAGTGGAGCTTGCATTGGTGTAATTTTTAACTACACTTAAACAGCGAGTATATATATATATATAAAGAAGAGAAAAGAAAACATAACTTCTAGATACTGTTCATCAGATGTAGATTGTTTTTTTTAGGCCTGCAATTTTTTCTTTTGTTCTTCACTGGCATTCTTGCACGTGCATTTAAACTGAAGAAATGGGGGGAAACATGTCTTTTTGCAATACTTAAATAATACTTGCCAAGTGAAGTGGGGCGATATCAGCTTCGAAAGGGCTCCGTGTTTTTATTCTTTGACTTCAACTCAAAAATGTAAAGCTGAAACCTCTTAAGTCAATTTAATGACGTAATGATTGAGTACGTCCTTCTTTAATTCATTGGCTGCTAGAACCTATTTTGAATGTATTAGTGCCACCTACTGAACATCCCACTACATTACAATGTATTGTTAAACTAGAATACAGTTGATGTTGCTTCCTGTTTCAAGTGCCATTAAGTTGCCGTCTTTCCTGAGTGTGTTGGAACAAATGTATTCCTTGGGTATTACTAAGGGTAAAATAAGCTTACTGTGTAAAATTAGATAATTAATTCAGTGGTGAAGACGCCCTCCCCGCCAAAAAAAAACCCCACAAACAAACAAACAAACAAACAAACCCCAAACAAGTTTTATTTCTTGCTTCTACAGGCTGTTCCACATCCTTGTGGGTTTCATTTGTGCTTTCCTGTAAACCTTGACAAGCCTGTGGTCTTAGGTCATTGTAACAGATTCTGAGATAAACCCACACAAGTAGATTTTTTATTAGATTTAGCATTTAGTGTACAATATTATTATAGTCAAAATCACTATATCCAACAATTAAGGCTAGGCACCTAGTTCTGCTCACTTTCAGTAAATTTAAGAAAGAAAGAAAAAAAAGAAAAAAGAAAAAAGAAAGAGGCATGGCTCAATGAAGACATCCTGTATAAGATGCATCAGTCTTCATGACATCTTACCAGTAAGCCATCTCCCTGGGGTTGCTGTAGAGAAACCACAGGGGTGTCACCCTCAGTGCACTTAATTTTTTTTTTTTTTTTAAATGCATCCTTCCTCATTAAATTTGCATAAATGTGCAACCGAAAAGAACAGTAAAGGATCCTAAATGTAGAACAGCTCATGTCACCATGACTCTTTAATAAGAATAATAATAAGAATCACTTTATTTATCCCGAGGGAAATTCTTTTGTTATGTACATGCTCAAAGCAGCAGGAGAGACAGAGGAACAGATGAATAAGATACACAATATATACAATAAGAATACTACTATACAGTAATAAACAGTAGGATAGTGCAAGACATAGTATCAAATAACTCTAACGAAGTAATATATAACTATATCCTGGAGAATAAATAACTTAACTATCAGTGCAGGCGATTCTAGAAAGTGACAGTATTGTGCAAAAGAATAAAGGGAGTAGCAGCGTATGATGGGGGGATGAAACAAATATTCAATAAGGTACTGTTGGGTAATATTGCACGGTCTGAAAGGGAACAGAATAACACTGGTAATACTCTCAGGAAAATCATCTACACAGTGATGAAGAGTTATATTGCCACCGGTACAAAGGATTTACTGTGGCGGTCAGTTCTGCATTTCGGGGCAATGAGTCTTTTGCTGCGTTTGCGCCGATGGTCCATCATGGGGTGACAGGGGCTGTCCATGATAGAAAGCTTTTTTTTTTTAGCATTCTCCTCTCAGACACTTCCTCCAGGTTCTCAAGTCTGACACCCAGGACAGAACCAGCCTTTTTAATCAGTTTGTTCAGCCTGTTGGCATCAGCTGTCTTCACCCCACTTCCCCAGCACACTGCTGCAAAGAACACGACGCTCTCCAACACCGAGTGATAGAACATGGTCAGCATTTTCCTACCAACATTGAAGGACCTGAGTCGCCTCAGAAGGAAAAGCCGACGCTGCCCTTTTTTGAAGATAGCATTGGTGTTCTTGGTCCAGTCCAGTTTACAGTCCAAGTGTACCCCCAGGTACCGGTAGTCCTCAACGATCTCCACATCAGCCCCTCTGATGGTGACAGGGTTAGGAGGAGGAGCCTGCTTCCTAAAGTCCATAATCAGTTCTTTTGTCTTTGTGATGTTAAGCTGTAGGTGGTTTAGCTCACACCACTCGATAAAGCTGTCCACCACACTCCTGTACTCCTCCTGTCCATCCCTGATGCAGCCCACAAAGGCAGTCATCTGAGAATTTCTGCAGATGACATGATTGAGACTTGTACCTGAAGTCAGATGTGTAGAGGGTGAAGAGGAAGGGTGACAGGACAGTCCCCTGCAGAGCCCCTGTGCTGCTCAGGATGTTATCTGAGCGGCAGCTCTTTAGTCAGACATGCTGTGGTCGACTTGTTAAATAGTCCGTAATCCAACCTACCAGTGGGGCGTCCACCTGCATTTCCGTGAGCTTATTTACATCATTTCAGTCTGAAAACAAACTGTAAAAAGTGTCATGGCACCCTATGCATGAGTAGATGTATTACACTATACGCTACAGCCAGACTGTACTTTTGATATGTTGGGATTAAGGTGACTGAAAAAGAAAATGGTAGCCAAGACCTGTCTGAAAGCAACTCTCAGTTTTGAATAAAACACCAGAAACGATGCAAGCATTTTTCCACGAAACATTTATTTGATCAATAGACAGGATCACATCTTTCCATAAACAGGTCAGTTAAATATTAACAAATTTACAGTCATGAGGAATGTAATACAAAAGAAACAAAAACAAATATTTGCTTTAAAAAACCCCAACCCAGGGACCCCACCCAGAATAATGTGACCACGGTGGCACTGAAACAGAGACTTAAGTCCATTTTCCAGCTCCACTGTTACACGCTCTTCCCTTCAGTGCTTCACAGTTCATCCTTGTCTTTTGTCTGCAAGCATGATTAGAGAAAGGTCAGAAGAGTAAACCACTTCAACACTTAGATTCTTAATTTTACATTGTCCTCAAGCAAGAGTGTGTGAAGTCTTCTCACCGTTTCTTCGTCATCATCCTCATCCACAGTCTCCTCTTTATCTTCAGAGTCATCTTCTACTGGTTCTTCAGGCTCCTCCTCAGGTTCTTCTTCAATCTATAAAAGAGCCATGATTATTAAACATATCATACGGTCTTAAAAATCACTGCACAAATACTTAACATTTTACAAAGAAGATTTAAAAAGCAGAGACAAGACTAAACTCAAAAAGGCTCACGGCTGGAAGAGGAACCATTAGTTCAGACACCAAAACATCTGCTATGCAAATTAGTATACCATACAAGAGCTGCAGTGACTTGCCTGTTCATCTAGTGGTACATTCAAGCTGAGTCGGAGCATGCGCTCTATTCTGTCTCCATAAGCTTTTGTATCAGCGAGCTGGTATCCTGAGCGCAGTGTGGCCGTCTCAAACAGAACCACAGCCAGATCTGATGCAGTCTGATCCTCAGCATCAGTCTGGGGGTTGTGAGGAAAAGAAACTGTTCAACTATGTGCTCTGATTGGTCCATTTTAAGTTTATTCATGTAATGAACTACATTTACTAAGTAATTTGATGGTAATCTTAGTAAAGGACCATTAACATAGTACAGATGTACAAAAATGACAGTGGTTAAACTCACATTGACTCTATTAAGCAACTGCTTGACAAGAGGATGTTTGGGGTTGAGTTCTAGTGTTTTCTTCTGGCTGGCGTAATAACTGGAAAGATTAAATTGAAATACAGATTTAGAACAAACCAATAGCAGTGGGAGTAATGAATGCAAAGACGAGCCCAGGATTAACACTCACTTTGTGGAAATGTCCTTTCCTGTCTGGTAGGCCTGTGCCTTCATGATCCTCTCCATGTTCCCTGACCAGCCGTACTGACTGGCAACCAAGGCGCAGGGTGAGTTGGTTAGCCTCTGAGAGAGAACAGCCTTCTCAATCTGTTGGGGAATAAAAAGCAATGCATTAAATGTTGCAGACATAAATATGCAGCTAGAGCCAAAATTAACTGCTTCTACAGCTGGCGCTCATGCCCCATTCTTTTAATATCACAGAATTACCATGTCCTTTAGAGGTTTGTCCTTCAGCCAAGTTGTGAGAGGTTCAAACTCCTTCTCCAGGGCCTCCCTCTTCTCCTTGGTCTTTTCACTCTCGTCAAATTTGACACCTTCCTTGGCCACGTTCTGGAAGCGTTTTCCATCAAACTCTGGCAGTGCCTGGATGCAGTACTCATCCACAGGCTCTGTCAGGTAGATGACCTCATAGCCCTTCTTCAGCAGCTTCTCAACAAAGGGAGAAGACTCAGCCTGTAGTGGATGGAAGAACAAGAGACATGAGAATTTCAGCTAGTGTAGGATAGTTTACACTTCTTTCTCCTGACCAAAACACACACATTCACTCACCTCTTTCCTGCTGGTGCCAGCCATGAAATAGATCTTATCCTGCTTCTCTTTCATGCGCTCCACATACTGTTCCAGACTGGCCAGGTCTGTTTCACTGTTGGAGGTCTGGAAGCGCAGCAGCTTAGCGAGACGGGTCCTGTTGGAGTGATCCTCGATCACACCCAGCTTGATGTTGGTGCCAAACTCCTTCCAGAACTTATCGTTGTACTGTTCCTCTGCAATCTTCTTAATCATGTCCAGAGTCTTACGGACCAACTTCTTGCGGATAACCTGAAAAAGACAAAGTAGGTAATGACCATTTCATACTGCATTAAATCTAGTGTTAGTTATTCAGAATCTTTAATTTATGGTTTCATTTAACCATGTTCTAGTGCCCCCTGTTATTCCTGAAAGCACTTTATGATTTGCACTACATAAAAATTGCTTTGCTTCATTATCCATTTTAATCAAAGGCTTCATTGGTTAATGATGACTAAATGATGGAATGGGAAGCGAACAGGGCTGCATGTTGAGCTCACCTTGAGCAGTTTGTGCTGCTGCAGAGTTTCTCTGGACACATTCAGAGGAAGGTCGTCAGAGTCAACCTAACAAAATAAAGTTTCCCTTAATCACAGTGCAGGTGATATTAATGCAGAGACCAAGCACATAACATTAGCATGAGACCAAATAAGAGTTAAATATAACTCACCACTCCCTTGATGAAGTTCAGGTACTTGGGCATCATGTCATTGAAGTCGTCTGTGATGAAAACTCTCCTGACAAACAGCTGCGAATGGAAGGCATTTACTTTGAAACTCAGTTTTTGGGGAATTGCTGAAAAGTTGAATAAATTTGATACTAAATATTGCTTAGAGTACACACCTTGATGTAATCGTTCTTCTTGGAGCCATACTCGTCAAAGAGCCCACGGGGAGCTGAAGTGGGCACAAACAGGATGGACTTGAAAGTGACCTCACCCTCAGCTGTGAAGTGGATGTGAGCCATAGGGTCATCATTGTCCTGTTGGAAGATGAAAGATGGGTAAAGTTTATAAAAATCAGACATTAGTATACCAGCCTATAGAGCCGGTTTGATAAAGTATCATAAAGTATGTGTGCCTACCTTTGAGAAGGTCTTGTAGAAAGCCTTGTACTCATCTTCCTCAACCTCCTTAGCAGGCCTCTGCCAGATGGGCTTGATATCATTCATCAGTTCCCAGTCCCACACAGTCTTCTCAACCTACACATCACACACACAATTATATAACTTTTGAAAAATATGCATTTTAGGTCAGACATATTTTCACAGACTTCTTTCTGAGTAAAATAGTCCATAAATCTTAATGACTCAGTGGGACTTTAACCCACCATAAAAAACTGTTAATGATCACACGCACGTGTAAATATAGTCTCAACCACCATTTCTTCATCAACATACCTTCTTTGTTTTTGGTTTGTCTTTGTCTTTGTCTTCTTCTTCCTCTACTTCAGCCTCATCTTCAGAAGCCTCTTTCTCTGGTTCCTCTGCTGCGTCAGCATCTTCCTCAATGGGCTCTTCAACCGTCTCAGTCTTGAATGTTAAAATAAATTATGCAACAGTTTGTTCATTTCCATATTTGTTAGTTTCAATCTGGAATTAAGTCTGACTCATAGTGTTGAAGGAAATGACAAAGTAGTCACCTTGCTGGCCCACACATAGATGGGGAAGTTGATGAACTGAGAGTATTTCTTGACAAGGTTCTTGATGGTCTCCAGCTCCAGGTAGTCTGAGGCCTCCTCCTTTAGGACAAGTCTGCAATTAGACAAAGACGAGATTAAATTTAAAATTTCAGGCTTTTATAACATTTCAGACTCATGTAGCAGCATGAAAATACTCTGCAGTTCTTCAATAGAGACTGTACATTAACAACGATTTCATAAGCTTTGACAAATAAAGTTGGTGTGAAATTAATTTCACAAGAGCTGTTTAAAAAGATCAAGAAACCAAATCTGGTGCGGGCAAATGTTAGCACATAAATAACATACGTGATGGTGGTTCCTCTACCCAGTGTGTCCCCACGGGGGTCCTCAATGACAGAGAACTGATTTGAGTCAGACTCCCAGATATGCTGTGTGCCATTGTTGTGCTTTGATGTCACAATGACCTTGTCAGCAACAAGGAAGGCAGAGTAGAAACCGACACCAAACTGTCCGATCAGCTCTGAGGTAGACTGGTCCTCTTCCTGCATCTCTGTCATCTTGTTAAGGAATTCGCTGGTGCCTGACTTGGCAATGGTTCCCAAGTTCTTTACTAGCTCCTCCTTGGTCATTCCAATACCAGTGTCAGTGATGTGCAGCATGTTCTTCTCCTTATCAGACTGGGGATAGAAATAATGAAATTCAATTAGTGGATGCACAGCTTTTCCATTAAAGGTGTCAGCATTCAGTAAGTTAATGCATACCTTTATTTTGATGGTCAGCTCTTCATTTGTGGCCATTGCATCCTCGTTGGTTAGGGACAACAAGCGGATCTTATCCAGAGCATCCGAGGCATTGGAAATCAACTCCCTAAGGAAGATCTGCAGCACAAAAAAAAGTGATGATGAGCTCTGTGAGAAATGTCTTAAATACAAATATGTAGACACAGGGTTGAGTAAAGATTATTCCTGCCCACCTCCTTGTTCTTGTAGAGAGAGTTGATGATCAGCTTCATCATACGGTTAACTTCAGCCTGAAAGGCATGTTTTTCAGACTTTTCCCTGAGTTCCTTAATCTGAGCTGCATTCAAACCGTCCAGCTGGATTGCCTCCTCCTCTCTGAAGGCAGACAGATGCAAATACAAACAGGGTAAGAGAGGGGAACAACAGCAAATCTTTGCTGCCAAACAAATCTGTTGTCCTTTCAGATAACTAAGATTGAAGATGGAAGCAAGATACATATAACTTCCTATTATTACAAGCAACTTTACAGTAAAACTTGCACACCTCTGCCTCCACTGTAACTCCAAAGTGGCCCTGAGCACCTGTACATAAGCTTTATCTTCTTGACCTTGTTCTGCTAAGACTTAGTGGACTTTCCCTGATACAGTAACTGCAGTTTTCTAGAAAGGTATATAGACTTACGGAAAGTAACACCTACCTCTGCACCACTTCATCGTCTGTTCTGGAGCCATCCCTGCTTTTACCCAAGTCCTCCTCTACTGTCCCGTCAACGTCAAGTTCATCATTTGCCTTTACAGCAGCTGTCAAGGGACGAAGTTGCTCGATTAAAATTCATTATCAATTACCGGGAACATGTGGTAATTTTAGACTCTCATTAAGTTTTTAAAGCACTGTGCAAACACATGCTCAGTCACCAAATTAATTAAGACGTAACGTCTGACCGTGTCAGCCTTTTAATCATTATTTAAACGTGCATGTTTGCAACAGTGGAGGTTAGCTAACATGAGACAGCTTCAACACAGATGGTGTTTCTGCTAGAAAGTTCTGGAAAGGCAAGGAGATTAACGGACACTGGCGTTACTCTAAAATAACAGGTAAATTAAATACGCTCTCCGTTGCTTTGACACCTGCAAGCCTTTTAAAGTCAAGTACAGAGAGAACGTACAAACTCCACAGTGAATGAAAAGAAAAGCAAAAACCAAGTTAGTGTTAGCATACGGGCTAAAGGTAGCTAAAATAATGAATAATTTAAAAAAATACCACTACTCACCAAATGCTAAGAGTGCAAAAAGAAGCCCTATCACCCAGACTCGTTTCATTGTGAGATGCTTCCTGACTGACTGCCTGCCTGACGACTTGAGCCTTCAGCTGCTGAGACAATAGCCGGGAGATCAGCGCATGCAGCACTGGCTTTTACAACGAGGAATGACTAGCTGTCTCTCCCACCAAAAGAGCCCACTCGCCTTACCCCGTGACTACCGACCAATGGCTGTGCACCACGCACGACCGTCGACCAATCACAATACAGTCTACGGTACATGTTGTCCAATCAGTTTCTTCAACATATGCCTAGACCCGAAAATCGTGGCTGTACACCATTGGCTAGGAATGAATAATCAGCACATCACTTCCTAAAATTTACCTTTCATTGTAGGGAAAACATCACTGACAGCACTTCCAATTAAAGTTCCAGAGCCAAGGAACACACTTAGGATTAATAATAGAAAGACGGCGAATGTTTGGTTTATGGCTCCAAGGCAGTTTCAGTCTCTACAAAAGTAAATGATGCAGTGTTTCTTGATGTGTATATGGCGCGTTATTCTGGAATTTTGCATTCCCTTTCCTTTAAATGACTGGATGCATCGTAATGCTGTGGAAGCATAAATTATAATGAATGAGTCTATTTCAAGTTAGTCACCGAATCTAATCCACTTGGTGGCGCTATATAGTTAGCAAGCTGAAATGGCAAATGCTAATGTTTCAGGAACTAGTTCTTATGTTCTCCCGCAGATCAGGATATCATTATTGTGCTGCTTGCTCAGTTTGTTTTGTGTCAGGGGTGTTAGCGATCGTGTCAGCAGCGATATTTAAAAGACATACTGTGAATCTTATTTTTAAAAAAATGACAACCATCGTCAATACTGAACATCTCAAATGTATTACAATTGACTGTCTGACCACAGTGTCAGCTCCTATTAAGTGTGATGTTTCTCCAAATGTGAATGGAAAAAAGATCAGAATTAACAATTTAAAGATAAATAATAAAATACTGGGCTAGTACTTTTTTTGTTATAAGGTCAATAATTTGATTTACTACATTACAGTAAGTCATTGTTCTATCTTAAAAAGGACTTTTCCAGTCTAATACAATTTTCATAAAGCATCTTTTAAACAACAAAGATTACCGAAGTTCTGTACATAAAAAGGTGGATTACATAATAAAATACAAGATATACACATGTGCGCACATGCCCACACACATCAACCTAAAAGGACTGCAAAAAAAACACAAAACAGCCTTAATGCCTTCAAAGCAGGGTCAAAAGCAAAAGAAGAAAAGCTTGTTTCAAAGGTGGACTCAAACAAATGTTGCGCTTATGGCTGAGATAGCTTGATTCAAACATACAATGCAACATCAAAAATCAATTGTAAAATACACAGGAACCAGTGAAGGGAGGTCAGGACAGGGGGAATATGCTCCATTTTATGGGTTCTATTAAGAAGGTGAGGAGCTGCATTTTCTTTTTTTTAAGCAGAATTAATTTGTTTACCCAATTTTAAGTCACAATCCTTCTGCTTACCCAATCCAAGATCATTATTCACAATTCAATGTGAACCTACACAGGAAAAACAAACTCCACACAGAAAGGTCTCAGCTGGCTGGTGGATTCAAACTCTGGACCTTCTTGCATTTAAGTGTCAGTGGTAACCACTGCGCCGCTATATCATTATTAGTCTCTATTAGTCTTAGTCTCTGTTCACAATGATTGATTGATTTAGAAAGATTTAGACTTTAATTCACTGTGTGAATTAAAGTGCAAACCCTTTGCAGACACTGTTTAAAAAGTTCCGCACTTTTTATACAGAGTGCCCCATTTTCAGGAGCTTCATGGCCAGGTGAGGCCTGTTCCCTCATTACTCCATGGCAAATCAAGGAGATCTGCAGTTCATTCCAAGTGCTGAACTTGTATTTGGTTACTCTTCACTGGAAATCTCAATATGAGTTCCAAAGAGATATTGATGCAAGTGAAAACAACAACAACAACAACAATCATTACACTAAAACCCAAATACATCCATCAGAGAGATGGCAAAACCTTCAGGAGTGGCCAGATCAATGAACTGATACCTTCTTAAAAAGAAATACACTGGCGAGTTCAGCAAAACCAAAAGACCTAAAAGACCACAAAATAAAGTGGATGATCACAGAATTCTTTCCTTGGATAACTTTGATGAAAGGTAGAGTCTTTTCATTTGATAAGCTCACATACGTATGTGAGATACTTAATATCTATCTGAAAATGTTAAATGTTTGGACTGAGAGATTTTGCATTTTCTTTTCCTTTTTTGGTATCAACTAATGAGGCAGACTAATTATGTGATTGGTTTGGTAAGAGCATCCCAGTGAGGAATGATAAGTTATCAATTAAGGAATAGCTTTCCACTTACATTAATATAGAGTAAACTGAACCAGACAATGTTTGTTGTCTTTAGATATAAACCTTGAATTTGGAAAAATTAGCAAAGTCTCAGAGTATCTAATGATATAAGACTCTAAGCCTGTTCACGTGGGATTTCACGATTTCTGCTATGTAGCTAGTCCATCTAGCTAATATTAGATAGATGTGATGTCATCTGCTAAAAAAGTAAGAAGCACATACTGTATTAGCCTAATAGCTATATTGTGAGCTATCTGGAGGTGAAATAATGACTTTTGGTGTTGCACTGATCAAAAGTCTTGAGCCTTCCCTCCACCTCTGCATAGGAGGTGAAAGTTTTAGTAGCGTTTGCATGCATATGTGCACGTCATACTTTCAGTCTGTAAACACGATAGTGCCAAAGGTTTTGAATGAATTATGATCAAACTTTGTAGGGGTGTAGATGATGTCATGTTCACAATCCATTTAAATGTAGCTCACATCCACCAAGGTCTTCAAGGTCAGCTTAAGAATTAATTTATCAAAAATCATCGTGTCATGTCACATTTTACCTCCGACCTCCCCCTCAAGATCAGTAGATTACTCCGGAGGTCAAATTGATATAGAGCTACTGCAGTTGTTAGTTGGTTAGATATATGGGGCAGCAAGGTGGCATGGTGGTTAGCACTGTTGCCTCGCAGCAAGCCTGAGTTCATTTCCACCATCAGGCCGGGGCCTTTCTGTGTGGAGTTTGCTTATTCTCCACGTGTTTGCGTGGGTTCTCTCCGGGTACTGCAACACACGTACACACCTGCTAAGTAGTGTTGACGGTGAGTATTACACCAACTCATCTTGACAATGCTGTACAAGCATACAGCGAATGAGTGTACCGCTGATCTTTATCCACTAAGCGGCACTATTTAGCTACTGACTTAAAATATACACCTTATAGTAAACACAAATGATAGAAAAAACACTGGTGCAAGCTTCTCCCACGAATGTGCATATTATTCTACTGCTTGCTCATTCTGTTTACATGTTTATGTGGGCAGCGTAACAAGCAGAAGCTAAAAGACACACAACTTTTTCTGATAATCCTCGTCCCAAAATGATAGATAGATAGATAGATAGATAGATAGATAGATAGATAGATAGATAGATAGATAGATAGATAGATTTGATTCGGCATTCAGTCTTTTATTGCTCTCATATTTTATTGGATTTCTACTCTCTAATAACACATTTACTACGTGTTGGCTACCTGTGATCCCAAATGACGGAAGGGGAGTAAGGAGCGAGCATAAAGTATTAGAAATATGCGTCTTATATGCATTTATAAATATATTCAGGCTATGGGAGGCACTGAACGTCAAACGCACGAGCTCCCGATTGGCTGGCTGGTCGTGACCTTACCAAACTGGGAAGTGACGTAAGAGCAACTACACGGCGACAGTTTCTGTTTTTGCCGAGGGAGCCCGTTGCCGCGTGCAGTCGGCTGGGGAGTACACCGCAACCTCCGCACGGTCCGCCACGCTCTGAACAAAGCTATGGCGCCCTGGTCTTTGCCGCTCTCGTCTCTTCTGAAACACACGGACTGTCTGCAGAGGGCCAATATTTTCTGTAATGTCGTACAGGGGTTACACCACCACTACCACCCGTTAAGGTCTCGGTTATGGAAACGGAATTTCAGAGCGGTGTCCCAGGGAGTTGGTCAGCTACTCTCCCACGAGCCCAGAGCCAGAAAGTGCGCAGCATCTGTTTGTAGCAGCTCCTTAGACGGCCAGAACATGACAGAGAGGCTGTGGTCTGTTTACGATGAGACCAAAAGACAAACTGGAGGTAAGGTCACTGTTCACAGTGAGGCGGCTCCTCATTAATAATTACAGCCCTGCCCTAAATATAAAGCTGCTGTTTCTTTATAACTCTGTTTTGGCTTGTGTTTCCTTCTGACTAATGCACTACATTTCGCCATTCCTCTATATTAATAGCTTCTCAGACAGCAGACTCTAAATGTGGAAATTAGGTTGTACCTGTCTCTGTAACTTGATTTATTTGTGTCTCACTGATGCTAACAAATCCCCAATGTCTACATTTCGGAACCTTAAAACCTGCATGTTTTTATTTATTGCATTACTTATTGATCTTTTTTAAAGGTCAGAATTTGTTGGGAAGTTGACATTGAAGGGTTAAATCAACACTGTGCTGATGTTTGACTGAGGTGTTCTTTTAAAAACACAGATGTTAATAATTGCCGTACATGTGTCTGTGCAAAGTTTTGCTGAGATTGGCCCACTTGTTAAGAAAGAGGTAGGATATATAGAGATACATTCTTCATCTGTATTATTGTATATATTTCTGAATTCAAATAAGCTGAAGAAAGCTCTTGTGTTTTTATTTTTCTTCTCAGATCTGATCTCCGTTATAACTGCCAACTCTGTCGACCCAGACACTATTTTTGCCAACAATGAGATGAGTCTGCGAGACATAGAGATCTACGGGTTCGACTACGACTACACTCTGGCATTCTACTCCAGCCATCTCCACACTCTCATCTTCAACATAGCACGGGACATCCTCGTCACTAAACAGCGGGTGTGTGTTGTGAATGATTCTACAACCTGACACTACTGATTAAGTCACCCCTCCGCTCAACCACAACCGGTTGCCCACACATGGCCACCCATCCCTGAGCCCGGTTCTGTCAGGCTTCTTCCTTTGAAAAGGGAGTTTTTCCTTCCCACTGTCACCAAATGCTTGCTCGTACGGGTCATCTGATTGTTTGGGTTTAGGGTCTTTACCAAACAATC